GTCTCAGCTTCCTGAGTAGCTAGGACTACAGGCATGCGCCACCACATCTGGCTAATATTTTGTATTTTTAGTAGAGACTTGGTTTCACTGTGTTGGCCAGGCGGGTCTCGAACTCCTAGCCTTGAGTAATCCACCCACCTCGGCCTCCCAAAGTGCTGGGATTACAGGCGTGAGCCACTGCACCCTGACCGCACATTTATTTCCATGGTTTTATGTGTATGTGTGTGCACGCACAGATAACTCACATGCTTGTAACTGCTGTCTTCTGCCATTTTTACTTAATATTACCTCATAACGGATTATGAAATGTTGATGGGTTCCAAAAGTATTAAATGTTTAGTTACCTTTTCTTTTCCTCCACTCCTTTCCTGTTAGCCAAGTAAAGTGATAAACAGATACATTCTTATTTTTACATGAGTTAAGATGGGAAAAGAAGATGAAATTTTTATGTTTATTTAAAAGGAAAACGTGATGAGTTAAAAAAAAAAAAAAACTTTCAGAAACAGAGATGTGGAGGATATAGTCCACCCACTTTTTTGCCTATTTGTTTTAATTGGTAGTCTAGAATTGTATTTTGTTGGTAAGCTATGGTTTGATTAGTAGAGATGGGGTTTCACCATGTTGGCCAGGCTGATCTTGAACTCCTGACCTTGTGATCCGCCTGCCTTGGCCTCCCAAAGTGCTGAGATTACAGGCATGAGCCATCACACCTGGCCTGCTATAACTGTTTTCTTTAGTCTTCATGTCTTTTGCTGCTATGCACACTTACAAACATCTCAACCAGTGGACTTACTTTTAGTTTTTGAATTTCCCTTTTGAGCAGTTTTATCCATTAGAAGGATTGGTACTTCGTGAGTTTTGTTCTTTTGTAGAGGTCTTCTAAAGAACAGAGAGGGGGAAAAAAAAAGATAGAACATTTATTTATATGTTTTTTAATAGAATAAAACTCATTTTATCTTGCTGTTACCATATGGACCTTTTTGTAAATCTAAGAAGCATTTGGGAATATTACAGGTCTTGTTTTTCCTATATCTTGAAGCATTTTGTTATTTAATCCAAGAACTTATTTTATCAGTACTCATCAAAACTATACTTACAAAAAGTGGGCTAAAATAAAAAAAAAAAAGTTAGAATTGGCTAGAGTGGAAGTTGACAAACTTTTAGAAGGGTCAGTTAGAAAATATTGTAGGCATTGTGGGCTACATATGATTTCTGTGGCATATTGTTCTTCTTAACCCTTTAAATATTTGAAAACCATTCTTGGCTCCCAGAAAGGTTGTGGGACCGATTTGGCTTGTGGGCCTTGGTCTGTCATTGCATTAACCTAACAATTTTCATATTGCATTGCCCAAAGGATTATGCCATCTTTTACATAATATCAAAGGAGTCTGGAGACACCATCTTTATGGTCTCCTTTTAGCTTTTATTGAACAGTATGTAAACTCAGACTTTTAAATATTTTGTTCATAATGGCAAAGAGAAGAAAATTGATGGAGGAAGAAGTTTCACAATTATTAGGTTTCACAAAAGAAGTTTCACAAAAATCAGAAAGTGAATACTGAAAGGTAAATACTAGACTGATGACGATGGTAAAGTGGATCATATAAGCAAAATTACTTACTATGAATTTTCAGATAAGTCCTCATCATCTGAATTTTCTCAATATAGATGCCAAAAAAATGAACAGGTTGTAACCATAAGCTATAACCTATTAGAAATCTGACTTCTAAAATTTATAAAATGGATGTGTTCCATGTTCATCCATGATGCCTGATGGGCAGTTGTATTCAGAGGACATAGCCCATTTCGGCTGTGTCTTAAAAACAAGGAAATGTGGATTGACAACCTGGATTTGCCGTATTACTCACCAAAAAAATCTAATAAAGTTGTTTTCCACTATTTCCTGATTCTTGTAAACATTCTTTGTAAAATACGCGTGTGTGTTTGTGTGTGTAAAGGTTCCATTAGATGCAAATAACAAATGATGATTACTGCCTTTCCTTGTATACTGAGAGTAAAGAACTAGCTTCCTTTAGGATTTTTTCTTCTGAGTTGTGTTTTGTGTTAGGCTCTTGATTTACATGGAAGAGGGATGCTTTGAGAAAGTCTTAAAGAGTAGCTGCTGCATTTACTGTGTGTTTTAAAGAACTTGATCTAATTTATGTTAGTTTTTTATATTAAGAGTAGGTTATCTATTTTGCTTGCTCTTCTGTTTTTGTATTTATAATTTATTTTGCATTTATTTGATAATGATATGCTTTAATAATGATATGTTTTCTGGATTTTAGCGTAATTCTAGATTTAAAAGAAATCAAATGGTAGAGTAAGGAACTTCAGAAAATCCAGTCTTCCATAAAAGAATAACAGCTGTCAGAAGATCATGGCTCACTGCAGCCTCAATATCTTAGGCCTAAGCGATCCTCCCACCTCAACCTCCCAAGTAGCTGGGACCATAGCATGCACTACCTCGCTTGGCTAATTTTAAAATTTTTAAAGAGATGGAGTCTTCCCATGTTGCCCAGGCTGGTCTCAAACTTCTCAGCTCAAGTGATCCTCAGCCTTTGAAAGTGTTGGGATTACAGGATATGAGCAATTGCATTTGACCCAGAATCAGCTTTTTTGGAATACTCATAACTAACCAAAAGCTTGTAGCAATCAGGGCAACACTTATTCAAGAAAACCCACCAAATCTCAGTAAGAACAGTGAGCTTTGTGGCATTTGGCTACCCTGGTCCCATCTGCTTCTCAGCTCAGTGGTAGCCTTGAAAATAACAGTCTCCATTCCTGGTGCTGATACAGGAAGTAGGCTAGACCTAATTCAGAAAAAAAATTGTAATTTACTTGTTTTCATCGTCTGGTGGCTTGCTAGAAGACTGTTTCAAAAAAAGATGTTTGCCCTTATGTCACCTAACTTGGAGCTTTTCTGATGGAAAAGTAACTACCTTGGGGGTATTCGTTAGAAGTATGGCAAAGGAAAACAGTTGGAGCAAACCAAAACTAACCAGATAGATTAGAAATGAGATGCTTTGGGGAATAAGGGCTTTAAAATTCTCTGACATATTCTTGGGAATCTAGAAGGGCACATGCATGCCCAGAGCTTTGTGCATACTCAGGAAAGACCTGAGAAGACCCTAAGCTTTCTCTTCTGGCTCACTTTAAGTCTCTGCGCAAGCAGGAAATGAAGACTAAGGTGGAGTTATAAACTGCTTGGGTGAATATTGAAGGCATGTCTTAACACACAGAGCCCATCTGCAAAGACTAGCAGAACTTTTTGGTTTCAGATGTTTAAGGAAATTTTTTCTAATCACTAGCAGACTACTAACCTATGGAATAGAGACTTCACTGGCCACACATAACAAAGAAACGGACTTTACAAATTAGTGCAGAAAAGTCATTAAATGAGGAAACAACTACACAAAACAGTAACAACAGACCCCTAGAAGGGGAAACCTCTGATTTAATAGAGTTGTCACACTGTAATATTCAAAATGTCCTGCTTTCTACAAAATGATTATAAAGTATACAAAGAAGCAAAGAAAGACTCTTATACAGAAGAAAGGAACAGAAACAGCCCCCAACGAAGCATAGACAAAGACTTTAAGTAAGCTGTCTTTATTATGCTCAAATTGCTAAAGGAAACTAGGAGAATAGATACATCATCAAATAGAGAAAATACAGAAATTATGAAAAGAAACTGAAAGTTTATAGCTGAAAAGTACAGTAACTGAAGGATTCACTAAAGGGTTTAAATAGCAGATTTGAGTAGACCAAAGAAAGAATAAGTGAATTTGAAGATAAATTAAGTGGAATATCCAGTTTGAAGAGCAAAGACTTAGAGATGTGTGAGACACCCTCAAGTGCACTAACATGTACAGCAGACACAGTGTAATGACAGTAACAGAAGGAAAGGCTCTCGAGAGGGCTGCAAAGAATATTTGCTATGGTCTGAATGTTTGTTTCTTCTTATATGATGTTATCTTTCATATTTGTATGATGAAATCTTAACCCCAAGGTATTGGGAGGTAGGGACCTTGGGTAGTGACTGGGTCATTGGAGCAGAGCCCTCATGACTAGTATTAGTACTCTTAGAGTAATAAGAAGATCCCTTGCCCTTCTACCATGTGAGAACACAGTGAGAAGTCACTGTTTGTGAACCAGAAAATGGGTCTTCAGCAGATACCAAGTCTGCGGGTTCCTTGATCTTAGACTTCCCAACCTCCAGAACTTTGAGAAATAAATTTGTTACTTATAAGTTACCTATTTTATGGTGTTTTGTTATAGCAGCCTGAACAGACTAAAACAATATTTAAATAAATAATGCTCAGAAATTTCACAAATTTGATGAAAAACATTAACTACATTTAAGAAGCTCAAGAAACTCCAGGTAAGAAAAACTACACCAAGACACATGATAATCAAACTGTCAAAGGTAAAGAGAGAATGTTGAAAGCATCAAGAGAAGTAACTCATCACATACAAGTATTCTGGATGATTAATGGCTGATTTCTCATCAGAGACCACATAGTCTTCTAGAAGGTAGTGGATTGGCATATGCAGAGTTCTGAAAGGGGAAAAAAAAAAAGCTGTAAGTGAAGAATTATATATTCAGCAAAACTGTCTTCAGAGATGAAGGAGAAATACTTTCCCAGATAAACAAAAACTAAGTCATTGCTGGCAGACCTGCCCTATAAGAAATGCTTAAAGGGAGTCTTCTCTATTTATTTTTCCCACACTCTGTTACTGTTGGTGTCTAGCTGCAGTAGTGTCAATACATTTTAGAAATATAACAGGTATTTTTCTGGTGGGAAACTTTTAGTTCTCTTATCCTTTGTTAATATGCTAAAAACTAAGTAGCCTTTTGCATCTATCTGAAGAGACAAACTTGCACGTAAGAAAACTTTTTCATGTATATAAATCAGAGGTACTTTACATATTTACAAAGGAAATTGTATGACTACAAGTTAAATTTGAAATGTGTGGCATATGTTAATTTCTTGCAGGAGAAGGAAGCCAACATCCTTTTGGAGCCATGAATATTGTCCGAACTCCATCTGTTGCTCAGATTGGAATTTCAGTAGAATTATTGGACAGTATGGCTCAGCAGACTCCTGTAGGTAATGCTGCTGTGTCTTCAGTTGACTCATTCACTCAGGTAATGCAACACACATTTCATTCTTTACCTCCCCCTCCACTGCTATATTAAGGTATAAAGACAAATTAAAATCATATATAACTATGGTATACAATGTGATGTTCTTGATACATGTTTACATTTTGTTTGGTTTTTTGAGAGATGGAGTCTCACTTTGTCACCCAGGCTGGAGTGCTGTGACGAAATCTTGGCTGACTGCAATCTCTACCTCCCGGGTTCAAGCGATTCTCCTGCCTCAGTCTCCTGAGTAGCTGGGACTACAGGCATGTGCCACCACACTCAGCTAATTTTTTAATTTTTATTTTTTTAGTAGAGACAGGGTTTTGCAATGTTGGCCAGGCTGGTCTCGAACTCCTGACCTCAGGTGATCCACCTGCCTTGGCCTCCCAAAGTATTGGGATTATAGGTGTCAGCCACTGCACCAGGCCTATATTTTTAAATAAAATCAAGCTATTTAATGTATCTGTCACCTCACACAGTCATCATTTTTTTTGTAGAGAACACTTAAGATCTAATCTCTTAGCAAATTACAAGTATACAATACATTAATAGTAACTGTAGTCTCCATGCTGTACAATAGATTTTCAGAATTTTTTCATCCCGTTGAACTGAAACTGTGTGCCCTTCGACCAATATGTCCTCATTTTCCTTTCCCTTCCACTCTTCAACACCTGGCAACTACCATTCTACTCTCTGCTTCTATAAGTTCAACTTTTAGATTCTACATATAAGTGAGATCAATCATGCTGTTTGTGCTCCTGGCTTATTCTACTTAGCCTATTGTGCAGAGGAAAAATTGATGATGTAGGAGAGCAGGGAGAAGTGCTAAAGCAGTGTTCTTGAGTAGAAATGGCAGCATATATTGAGGTGTTGACTTTAGACAGGATAATGTGTATGTGGGTACAGATTCAGGAGGTTGGTAGATGTGATGAGAACTTGTGCAGGCACTCTCCTGATTTCTTCTTCTTGCTTAGTGAAATAGAAAGGAAGATCATTAGCCAAGACTGAGGTATTAGAAATTGAAGTAAAAAAAGACTTATTACGTAACTGGCAGAGGATGAGTGAATGGATTAGGGGAACCATATGTGTTTGCCTGGCAATACCAGAGGTGTACTTTTGAAGGTTGTAGTCATGAATTTAAAGGAGATTTGTCACATCTTTGAAAATGTACTTAATTGAGAATGAGACACTCTGGGTCCCAAAAATGTTTTTTTCCATAATTTTACAAATCAACTGCTGTGCTGAAAACAAGCTATAAAATAATCATAGTATCCTGTGTAGACAATATTTAAAAGGGGTCTGGAAAATACACGTTAAAATGTTGTCAATCTGGAGAAGAGTAAGAAGCCTTTTTTACTGTACATGTTTATAAATTGAGTGTTTTAAATAAAACTATGTTTTTAATTAAATGTATTATGAAATATTTTAAGTACACAAAGTAATTTATACATTCCACATGTAGTTATTATGTAACTACTCTGTACCAGGCATTTCTAAGCATATATAGATAGATACATACAGGCCCACAAAATAGAGTAACACCTATCTTTATAGAGCTCTCTTTATGATGGGGTTTATATTAAGACTTCCATTGCCCCCTGGATTTAACTGTTATATTTTGTCATATTTGCTGCAAATTTTTAAAAAAGAAATTAAGGCATTATTGGTATAGCCCACTGCTGCCTGCTTCTCTTCCTCCCTTTTACCTTCTTTTTATTTCTTTCCTAGTCATATTTTAGTGCTAAAAAAATTCCCGTGTATCCACTAAATAGGTATATACTATCTGTATGTGTTTAAACATGTTTCTAATTTCTTAGTTACTCCAAATTTTTATGAGTATTACATGTATTGGTTTAGTAAAATAGTTTTATATGTGAAAAAGCTGTCCTCTGTTACGACTTTACATTCTACTTCTATTCTGCTCCTCAAAAGCAGAATAATTTTCAACTCCCCTCCCCTTTCTAACCTATTTTTTACTAGTGTCTATTGTTTTCATGTATCAGAAAAAAAACTTGCTTAATCTGTTATTTACTTTTTTCCGGTATAGATGTTTTCTATTTATTTACAAATAAGACATGATGAAACTCTCTCACTCCCCTGCTTCCCAACATGTACACACTACTTTTCTCCCCACCTTCTCAGCATACATTTTTGTTAAATCATTATTAAAAGTTTACAATATCATGAGAACGTAAATATTTTTCAGAACTGAACCATGTGTGGTACAACGATTACATTTCTTTTCTTGTATAATTTTTCGTTTTTCCTGGTGGTTTCATTTTCCTCATTTTTTTTCCTTTGCATAGATTTCTGTTTCCACTTCTAATTTAAGCTTAAACTCTACCAAGTGTAAATTGTCATTCAGTTTATTTAAACCTACCAGTTTTAAATTGGTCTTGGAAATATTCTACTTGGAACTCTCCTTTCTTTATTTCCTTTTTTTTGAGACAAGGTCTCCCTCTGTCGCCCAGGCTGGAGTGCAGCGGTGCAGTCACAGCTCACTGCAGCCTCAAACTCCTGGGCTCAAGCAGTTTCCTCACGAGTAGCTGGGACTACAGGCAAGCATCACCAAACCCACCTAACTTTTTAATTTTTTATAGAGATGGGGTCTCATTATGTTGCCCAGACTGTCCTTTCTTTTTTGTTCCACTGTTGACTATTCTCTGGACCTGCTGTATAGCTGTAAACAAGGTTATTTCCTTTCACCATTACTATAGAAATTATTTTTGTTTGTCTTCTGTGTTTAATCCTTTGTTTTCTGGTTCCTTTGTTTTTCCTTCTTATTTATTTTGTATGTTTTAAAAATGAGTATAAATAGTATTCTATACAACTTGCTGTTCACTCAACATTATTTTTAAGATTTATCTATATTGATACATGAAATATACTTTGTTTTGATTGCTGCATAATGTGCCATTGTATAAATGAGCCACAGTTTTTTTTCATTTCATTTTTCATGTGTTCTCACTGATAGTAATCAGCCCTTTAAAATTTTGCCAAACTTATGGGTGAAAATTAGAATATCGTATTTAGTTTATATTTCTTGATTACGAGTGCTGTTGAGCATCTTTTCACACTTCTGGGCTGTGTTTGTATATCCTTTTATAGGAACTGACTTTATATGTATTGTCCAATTTCCTATTGTATTGCTTTTGGCACTTTTTAAATTTAGTCTTTTGGGAAAAGAAACTAAGATGCCTTTATGTGTTCTGGATAATAATCCTTTGTAAACCATGTTGCATTTTTCTCCTTCTAGCATGGTGCTTGTCTTTTTAATACTGCTTATCGTGGTTTTCCATACAGATATACTATATTTGTATATGAATTTATTGTTTCTTTTATGATTTGTGGGTTTTTTAATATTTGAGAAATCCTTTTCTACCCTGATATGTAAAGATGTGTGTGTGTGTGTGTGTGTGTGTGTGTGTGTGTGTGTGTAGAGGTGGGGTCTTGCTATGTTGGTTCTTACAGCCCTAAGGTTTACTTTTTGAATTATGTTTGTGTGCAGTATGGGAAGGTAATTAAATTCATTTTTCCTCTTATGGAAAACTAGTTATAGCCCCATTAATTGAGTAATTAGTCCCTTTTTTTTTTTAACCATGAATAATAGCATCTTTGTCATATATGCTTAGGCTTATTTCTGGGCTCTCTCTTTTATTCCAATTAGTTTATTTGCCTGACTCTTTGCCAGTAAGTCTTAATAATCTGGTAGGGCAAGTTCTTCCTCATAGTCATCAAAATATGTATAGGTATTCTTCATAATAACTGTGTAGGTATTCTTCATAATAATTATATCAGCTTGTTGAGTTTTATGAAATAGTATTAGATTGTCAAGTTTCATGAACAACCTTGTTGGAATTTTATTGGAAATAACATTGGATTTATAGGTTTAATTTGGGGAGACTTGGCCACTTTTACCACATTGTCTTCCCATATGTAACATGGCATATCTTTCCATTGAATATATGTAGGTTCTTTTGTTTTCTTTCAGTAGTCTTTATAATATTTTCCACAAAAATCTTGATAGTTTGTCTTAGCATTTTTTCTAGGCATTGGAGAAAATGCTTTGTTTATATTCTGAATGGAATTTTGTTAAAGTTACACTTAAAAATTATTGTCACTGGTGTGGAGGGTTGCTGTTAATTTTTTTTCCCCTAATATTGATCTTTTCGTTGTGACTTTAGTCTGGGTACACTGGCACATGCCTGTAATTCCAGCACTTTAAGAGGCTGAGGTGAGAGGATTGCTTGAGCCTAGAATTTTGAGACCAGCCTGGGTAACATAGTGAGACCCCGTCTTTATAAAAGTAAAAAATTATCCAGGGATGGTGGTACATGCTTGTAGTCTCAGCTACTTGGGAGGCTGAGGCAGGAGGATCACTTGAGCCTGGGAGGTCAAGGCTGCAGTAAGCCATGATTGTGCCTCTGCATTCAAGCCTGGGTAACAGAGTGGGACCCTGTCTTAAACAAACTGATAGTGACTTTACTAAATTTTTGATATTAATCAAGTGCCTTCACAGTAGACACTCTTGGATTATATTGCTTTCATATTAAACAACCAAATTGAAAAAACCTAATAAGACAATTTCTCTTGTGTAGAGAAGAGACAGCATAGCTGATTTTGTATTTTTGAGAAAGTGATGCTGGCAGGATTATATTTACGTGAGTAGAAGGTAGTATTATCTTTAGAAGTTCAGTTATATTTAGGGTTAGTACTTAAGCCCATTTGATTCTCAGAAAATATGAATTCGTTTACTTCTAGCTTCTACCAAGGAGACTTGGAGTATAGTAGTGAATCTGATCATTTTAGAGTCAAGGAGAAGATACAGGTTAGAAAACAGAGGAAACCGTATAGTGTTGGCTTTATCTTCTTTCCAGCAATGGAAATAATCAGTTGTTCCTTTATAATATGTAAACTCTTATCTCTCTGGCAGGTAAAAGACTTCTTAGAGATGATTACTATTTTATATGAGAAAATGTTGGCCAGGATGGTCTCGATTAAAAAAAAAAGAGAAAGAAAATAGGTTGATTTGGGGAGAGTGACAGTTGAGGAGGGACATAGTGGATGCAGATGTGGAGATGAAAGAAAATATTTTGAAGAAAAAGGTTTTTCTTTTTTTCCCCAAAGTGAGTAGCATATTTCACAATGTCATTATATGTATGTTTGCTCTTAACTTTCTTTTTTCTTCATTTATTTAATTTTATTTTTTTGAGACAGGGCTTTGCTGTGTTGCACAGGCTGGTTTTCAACACCTGGCCTCAAGTGATTCTTCTGCTTCAGCCTCCCAAAGTTTTGAGATTACAGGCATGAGCCACCACACCCAGCCAACTTTTAGCATTAGACTGTCTTAGAACTAACAGTCCTTATAAACAAGTTAATATGAGAATATTTTTAATTTAAAAATACTGAGTTCTAAATGAAGTATAATCCATTAATCTATTATTAACTTTTCAGTTCACACAAAAGATGTTGGACAATTTCTACAATTTTGCTTCATCATTTGCTGTCTCTCAGGCCCAGATGACACCAAGCCCATCTGAAATGTTCATTCCGGCAAATGTGGTTCTGAAATGGTATGAGGCATTTTCTGTCTAATATTACAGCTTTTCGTAACTGAGCATCTATTTTGCCTGTGCATATATTCCTTTTTTGACATTTAAACATAGTCTTTTGTGGACATCAGCACTGCATGCTATTGAAGTATGTACTACAGAGATCTGATGAGAAACAGTTCTTACCCTATTTTGTTATATAGTAGCCATTATGAATTTATAAAGACAAGAAAACATAATTGCCTATGTTTTAGGGACCACTATTAAAGCTTATAAATATTTGTTTATTTTCACTTAGAAGTACCATCTATGAGACTTGAAATATCAATCAAAACTTTATGTTGTTTTGAAGATCTTGATCTATAGTAAACATGTACCTTTAGGGTATGAGAGTAGTTTATACTGCACCCTAAACATGAATGGCTAATGAATCTATTTTCCAACTTTCCCATGTTTTATAGATATTTCTTTTCACTTTGAATATCCCAGTGGTGGGAGGATGTCTAGGAAATGTTTCTTGAGAAGTGGTACCATGGTGTAGCATGGAGAGCACTGGAATGCACTAGGTTTGAATTTTGGCATAATGTAGCTATATGACCCTGAGCTAACTTCTCTCATCTGCTCATCTATGGAATGAGGGAATAGAGTTTAATTCGATTTTTTTCCTTAACTCCCTTGTAGCTCTTAAATTTGCAGAAGATAAACAATTACTAAAATTTTTTACAACTTGTGCTCTCTGATAAAAGCTAATCAAAACTGCCCCCATATTTAAATTCCTATGCTTGCTGTCTTTTTATAAGAATAATTACATTTCCAGATTATCTTTTTCTATAGCTTTTTAGAAATGACATGCAAAATTGTTTTGGGTAAGTTATTTGGCAGATAGTGAAAGATCCTATTTTAATTTTCTTGTGAATGTAAACATATGTGTTTTCTTTTCCAGGTATGAAAACTTTCAAAGACGACTGGCACAGAACCCTCTCTTTTGGAAAACATAATAATTTGAATAAAATAATTTTTAATGGATTCTGAAATTTGTCATGTTTTATAGATAACTGGCTCCATCTAAAAGTATGAAGGCAATGGATCATGAAACCTAAGTTTAAAAACTACTTAATGACTGAAGCTTAATTAAAATCTTTATTAAAAATTGAAAACATCGAAAAATGAAAATATGTTCATCATTAGTGACTTTTTTTCCCCTTAAGCTTAAAATACTATTCAGAGGCAAAACATTTTGTTTTGGCCATGGTTCATTTTTTACTTAAAATAAAGTCTATTTGCAACAGCAATGTGTCAAGTAGCACTGCATGTGTAATTATTTATTTAAATGAAACTGGTTTGCTGGAGTAGTTAACTTTAAATTACCTATCTCAAAATTTGGGAGACTTGAAAAACATGAAATATACATTTTTAAATATGGGAAAATTTTCAGGGACTTTTTCCTTAAGATTACCAGTTTTTTCAATTAACACAGCTTGGCTGTCACTTTTTATATCTGCAGGTTCATATATGTTTAATTAAATTGCCATATGGGTGAGCTTTTATTTAATACTGGTAAGCATTTATGTGTAGAATACAAGATTCTTCTTGTTAATGGATGATTTTATTGGTTCATGTTCTGTTGATTATAACAATACCTGAAATTGGGTAACTTATTTACTTAAATTTTTCTTTTTTTTGAGACAGGTTTTGCTTTGTTGCCCTGGTTAGAGTGCAGTGGCGTGATCACAGCTTATTCCAGCCTTGACCTCCTGGGCTCAAGTGCTCATCCTGCCTCAGCTTTCCCTGTAGCTGGGACCACAGATGTGCATCCCCACACCCAGCTAATTTTTTTGATGTTTTTGTGGAGACAAGAGCTTACTATGTTGCCCAGACTAGGCTCGAACTCCTGGGCTCAAGCGATCCTCCCACTTCAGCCTCTCAAAGGGCTGGGTTGGTAATTGACTAATGAAAGGATTTTTTTCCCCCTACAATTATGGAGACTGAGAATTCCAAGGCCAAGGGCCTCCAGCTGCTGAGAGCCTTCTTGCTGGTGGGGAGACTCGGAAGAGTCCTGAGGCAGTACAGTGTATCACATGGTGAGGGAGCTGAGCATCCTTTTGTGCCAGCTCAGATCACTCTTTCTCTTCTTATAAAGCCACCAGTTCCCCTCCTATGTTAACTTTTTATTTTTATTTTTTTTTGTTTTGTTTTTTTGAGACGGAGTTTCGCTCTCGTTGCCCAGGCTGGAGTGCAATGGCGCGATCTCGGCTCACCGCAACCTCCGCCTCCTGGGTTCGGGCAATTCTCCTGCCTCAGCCTCCTGAGTAGCTGGGATTACAGGCATGCGCCACCACGCCCAGCTGATTTTTTTTGTATTTTTAGTAGAGACGGGGTTTCACCATGTTGACCGGGATGGTGTCGATCTCTTGACCTCGTGATCCACCCGCCTCGGCCTCCCAAAGTGCTGGGATTACAGGCGTGAGCCACCGCGCCCGGCTATGTTAACTTATTAACCATAAGGGCAGAGCCCTTATGATGCAATCACCTTCTAAAGGCCCCACCTCTCAGTACTGCACATTGGGGTTAAAATTTCAACGTGTTTTGGAAGGGACAGATACTCAAACCATAGCATTATTGAATCATGAGATTTGGCAATGGCTACACATCAGCTAATTGCAATACTATTTTCAGAAGCAAAATGATTATTCACATACTAGAACTTGTATCTAGGAACTAGATTGCCAAACGCAAGCTGAAAAAACATCCTGAAGTTCAACTGTGCCTCTTCTGCAGAGTCAGGTAGCCTCTTCCTTTAGCCTAGTCAGAAAATGTTCCACCTTCCCAGTGATTTTTATAATAGTACAACAGGAAGTATTAAGTAAACAAAAACTGTTCCTTGGCTTGCTAAGAAAAATAACAAAAGAATATGTGATTGGTCATGATAATCTTCGGTAGTGAATTTAAATTAGTTTCTTGGGCTTCCAGAGCAGATGATGGGAGTGAAATTTTGGGCCACATTTTCTAGCATTATTCTTACTTTTACAATAGTATCTTGCACAGTATGAATAAGGAGTCATCAATTCTGGGAGCCTTCCTGAGTAACCTATACCTGCCTCATTTTGGAAGTTTCTGGTTATTCCCAGAGACGTGATACACTGGAAAGAAAAGGGTTTTAAATATCTGAACATCTAACAATTAGTCTATATATGTAAGATAGGTTTGTATATAGGAGGCAGGTGAAAACGGTGTTGACATAAGTAATACTTAGTGGGTTACAAGAGATACTGGGAATATAAATATTTACCACAACAGGAGTGAGCCGATAATTGTTTCCCTGAGGTTGACATATTCTCAGAGGAGTTAAATGGTTCCTGCAGAGAAGTCTGGAAAATCTGGAGAAAACTGACTAGGGCAGTGAGGATAGCTCCAGCATTTGTGCCCTGCCTAGGTAAGCTTGATTCTGTCTGCTGACAGTGCTGTAATGATTGTAGCAGAAGTATTTTTGTTTGGTTTGGTTTTTTGCTTTTTTGAGATGGAGAAGTATTTTTTTGTTTTTTTGAGTTGGAGTCTTGCTTTGTCGCTACACTGGAGTGCAGTGGTACGACCTTGGCTCACTGCAGCCTCCACTCCTCGAGTTCAAGTGATTCTCCTGCCTCAGCCTCCCGAGTAGCTGGGACTAGGGCTAGAGGCATGTGCCACCACACCCAGCTAATTTTTGTATTTTCAGTAGAGACGGGATTTCACCATGTTAGCCAGGATGATCTCAACCTCTTGACCTCGTGATCCACCCGCTCGGCCTCCGAAAGCGCTGGGATTACAGGCATGAGACCCCATGCCCGGCCAGTATTTTGTTTAAGTAAGGTAAAGATCTAGTTTTTACAAGAATGAAGTTTGAGGTTAATGATATGAAGAAAATTCACGTATCAAAAGGGACCTGTGGGAATTAATTGGCCTCCTCAAGAATTTAAAGAACTTTTTTTTTTTTTTTTAATGATGGAATTTGAAAGATCCAGAGAGTAGCAATCGTTTGAGAAAACTGCTCCAAAGTCTTGCATTTCTTAAGGTAGCCAAAAAAGACCATAAAGAGTTAAGTATAAAAGATAAACATGAAAGAATACTGAGAAACCTTTAGGCGATCTCTAGGGAGTACCAAATTGGAATAAGCAGAAGAGGGAAAAGAGCAAAGATGTCAGAAAATTAATCTTCCTTGTTGGCTCGTAACCATCCTTGCTGCCATGCTGTCTAGTTTATATTGTCATTTGTTTGATTTAAAGGTCTTGATTAGTAGTCTTCCACCAAAGATGTTGGCTTCTGGAGGATTCCTAAGAATCACTGCTTTAAGGTCTCCTGATGAAGTGGTTGTCTAGCTGTGGAGAAGGTACTGGTCATTTAGTTGGGAAACATAAACCCTGTGTTCATCATCTTGGAGTTTACTGCCATGCTAGTTGTTATAGTATCTGCTAAGCTAATTTTTTACTGAGGCCAGTTTTTCTCTGATGTCTCTTCCAGTAGACTAAGTTTGCTGATAGCTGAGGATGTTGCAGACAATAATGTTTTCTAGAATGGAGGAGAGTAGAATCCACTATTGAGGTACAACACAATTTATCAAAAATGATTATTAGAGTACAACATTATGGAAAGTATAGACAGTGACAGTTCTCTTGGTTTGTAATCTCATAAAGTGTATCTTTTTGTAGACAGTTATTGTGTTAGTCTTCACATGAACATGAGTGTGTTTCTTTTACCTGAAATGAAACAGTGAAACATTTTTATCAGCAAACTTTACCTGTGCATAATTAACATGAGAAGGCTAATCTCTTGATTTTCAAGTTTTCTTTTTTTTGTTTTTTTTTTATTATTTTTTTGAGACAGAGTCTCACTGTGTCGCCCACACTGGAGTGCAGTGGCATGATCTCAGCTCACTGCAACTTCTGCCTCCTGGGTTCAAGGGATTCTCATGCCTGAGCCTCCCAAGTAGCTAGGATTACAGGCACCCACCACCACCACAACACCCAGCCAATTTTTGTATATTTAGTACAGATGGGGTTTCACCATGTTGGCCAGGCTGGTCTCAAACTGCTGACCTCAGCTGATTCACCTGCCTTGGCCTCCCCAAGTGCTGGGATTACAGGCATGAGCCACCATGCCTGACCTTACATTTGATTTTTTTAAAAAAAGCTTTTAAAACGGTTTGGGATTGATTAAAATTTGTAGAGTGCCAAACAATTTTTCCTATTGTCTTTTCTTCCATAATGTGAAGGAAACCCAAAGAGTTCAGGCATAAAAGACATCTTCATAGTCTTACTATGCCTGAATTTGGGAAAGGTGAAAATTATAAAGAGTTGTCAGAGGAGATATGAATGTTAGTCAAAAATAACTGGCCGGGTGTGGTGGCTCACGCCTGTAATCCCAGCACTTTGGGAGGCCAAGTAGGGTGGATCACGAGGTCGGGAGATTGAGATCATCCTGGCTAACATGGTGAAACCCTGTCTCTAATAAAAATAATAAATAAATAAATAATATCTAAAGGTGGCTGGGCATGGTGGCTCAACTCCTATAATCTCAGCACTTTGGGAGGCCAAGGCAGGTGAATCACTTGAGGCCTGGAGTTCAAGACCAGCCTGGCCAACATGGTGAAACCCCATCTCTACTAAAAATACAAAAATTGACTAGACATAGTGGTACATGTCTGTAATACCAGCTACTCAGGAGGCTGAGGCAGGAGAATCAGAATTGCTTGAATCTGGGGAGCAGAGATTGCAGTGAGCCAATATCACGCCACTGCACTCCAGCCTGGCAACAGTGAAGCTCTGTTTAAAAAAAAAAAAAATTGTACATGTGCTTTTTAAAAACATGTATGTATGTATGTATATATATATATATATTTCCAAAGATACATGCATCTCTCCAAAGATATATCTCCAAAGATATTTTTAAAGGCAAGAAGTGGTCTCAGCTGACAACTATATTCAGCATACTAGTGAAAATAGTGAATATCATTTACCATCTGTGCCCAGTGGATCCATTATTTTAAAAAGCATTTTTAAAAATGTTTTTAAGCCACTTTTTGAAAAATTTACTGAAGAAAATAGAGATATAAAAGAACTTTGTTAGCAATTTTAAATAAAAAAATAAGCATACATAATATGTTCTATGTTTTCATAGTTTTGATGACATATGGAGCTGATACGAGCAATATCTTAATGTAACTACTCATCAACTGTCATACATGAACCTGGAACATACTCATCTTGTACATGCTGGTTCTAGGTTTCAAACAGATCTCTAATAGCTTCTACCTTAT